TCACCTCTCTGCCCTGGATGCTTGATGCTATAAATATGTCCTGTCTTTGGATCACTCAGTCTTCCTGAATGGCCTGTTTCACACAGTACTTTCTACAAGGTTGAGCCCTGCCAGAGCATGTAAGCCACAGTGTGTGCACAGTAGATCTGTTACCAAGTATGGAAATGTTGTCAAAGTTCTAAGCTCTTGCTGTGATAAAAGCCTCATGAATGGGTGATGCATGTGTCTCATGAACCTTGCAGATCACAGACTACTTTGTCTGAGGCAGCATAGCCTCCCCCATCCTCTCTTGGTGGCTATTTGCAGATGGCCTTTTCTATCCTCTCACTCTCAGTGTTATTTGTGTTTGGGATGGTGATAGGTAACCATGGTTACCAACTTGACTGCATCTGGAATGGACTGAAAGCTGGCCACCTCTGTGAGGGATCTGAACTCCAGTCCTCATGACTGAGAAGTAGCACGCTTAACCACTGAACCATCTTTCCAGCCCCTATCAACACTTTCATTTATCTCAGTTTCTTAATTTCTTCAGCCCAAAGTGTCTTCCTCTTGCCCTCAGTTCTGAAGGACAGCTTTGCCAAGTTATAAGATTCTTTCTTGGTAACTGTATTGAGGTTCTCCAGGGGAATAATGCTGATAGAATATGGATATACCTCACAAGGGGTTGTCTTAGATTGGATTATACAGCAGAGTTTGTGTAGGCCAACAATGGCTGTCTCATACCTGAGAGACTGAGAGCATGGTAGCTGCTTAGTCCAAAAGTCTCAGTACCTACCTCAGTAGTCTCAACTGGGTGCTGAAGACCTGGAGCATTCCTGGAGAGCTGCTAGCCTTCCATCAATACTGAAAGCCTGAAGAAGGTGGTCTTAGTATCAGTGAAGGCATCAACAGCAGCAGCAGAGTAGATGAGCTCATCAGCAAGAGGGAAGGCCAAGCAGGCAAAAGAACAACACTTTCTTCCATGTCCTCTTATCTGGGCACTAGCAGAAGGTCCCTCCTATAATCATGGTGGATATTCCCACATCAATAAGCAGTCAAGACAGTCCCCCACAAACAAAGCTGATCTAAATGATTCCTCACTAAGACTTTTTTCCTGGATTATTCTAAGTTGTGTCATGTTGATTATTAAAACTGACCAGCAGTAATTCCTTCAGTTCATTACATGGACTGTGTCTGCCCTGGCCTCTGGCCTCCATGGTTCCTGATGAAGGTCTATTGATAGTCTGGTTAGAAGTCTGTGCATGGCAGTCATTTATCGTAGTGTCTGGGGTGGGATAATCACTTTCCTACAATCATCCTTCTTCCTCTCCCCAGACTTAGCAATTTGAGTCATGTTCATGGTTTTTTCCTTCTGCCTGTTCAGATGCATTTCCTAGCCCCTCTAGTGAGTTCCTCACCCTGTTTTCCTCTTCCCTTCTGGAACTTGCACCCCCACTCTGTGTCTTCCTTCAGGTCTTTGAGGATCTTTGGTACCTTCATTCCAGGGTATGTTAGTTACTTTTCTGTTGCTATGATAAAACATCAGGACCAAGAGCAACTTCCAGAAAGAAGAGTTTGTTTGGACTTCTGGGTTCCAGAGGGCTAGAAGTTCATCATGGAAATGAGGCATAGAATCAAGCATCAGATATGATGATGGGAGCAGGAAGCTGAGGGATCACACCTTAGGTGCAACCACATAACAGTGGAAACAGATCAGAAGTGGAGTGAGGTTATATACTCTCAAAGCCTGCTCTGTGACATACTTTCTCCAGCAAGGCCTTACCACCTAAACCTCCCAAACACCATCACCAGCCTGAGACCAAGTGTTCAAAAGCCTGAGCCTGCGGAGGGTGTTTTTCAGTCAAACCACCACATCTGGTCATTGCCCAGAAGATCTGCTGTCAGGTCTTTTTCAGGCAAGATTCCAACTGACCTATTTTCTCTCTTTCTTTGAATGGCCATACCTTCCCATTTCTTTTTAATGTCTGGAGATGATGATTGTGGTAGTTTGAATGTCGTTGGTTCTCATAATCTCACAGAGAGTGGCACTATTTCGAGGTGTGGCTTTGTTGGAGTGAGTGTGGCCATGTTGAAAGAACTGTGTCACTGTGGGAGTGGTATTTGAGGGTTCCTGGTGCTCAGGATACTGCCCAGTATCTCATCTGCCGGCATGTTGCCCTGCTTCCTGCCATGATGATAATGGACTGAACCTCTGAAACTGAAAGGGAGCCACCTCAATTAGATGTTTTTCTTATAGGAATTGCCATGGTCATGGTGTCTCTTCACAGCAATAGAAACCCTAAGTAAGATGATGATGGTGAAGATGATGATGATGATGATGATGATGATGATGATGATGATGATGACTGGCTATAAACATGACACAAGAATCTTAAAGTGTGGCAACTTTGAAGAGATCAGTCTCCCTGTTTTCAAGGGTTGCTTTAAAAAGACTCTATAGAGTGTCTCTGTACCAGAGACCAGCAGAGAGACGAATACTCTTCTCTGGTTTTTTCTAAGCTCCTTGGTACGTAGTCAGGGTCTAAATTCTTCTCTATATGAGACTGCTTTAGAATGCACCAGTCCTTACGTGATTGGTTCTCAAAAAGAAAATAAATGGAGAGGGATGAAAACAAAGTCCCACCTGTCAATCAATGGGAGAGGAGCACTATGTACCACTGTCCATGCTCCTGTGTCTGCACCTTCACAATCAGCTGCATTGGGAGGGCTGACTACTGATGATCATAGCATGAGATGTTCAAGGCTCACCTGGCTCCCACAAGCTGCATGTGAGCTTCTCTAGGAATATACACAGATGCCTGCACTGGCCTGAGAGTGGAGGATGGGAGCTGCTCAACCCAGGAACTGAAATGTTCCAACATTAACTTCAATTTTACACTCACTTTTGAGCCCTGTGGTTTTAACCTTGGATTCCAAAATGGCTGCACCAGTCTCTGCCTATGTGATTGTGGTCTAGAAGATAACATGGATTCCAGGAATTCTGTTCATGGGGTCTCTCAAATTCATCCCATGTTCTAATGGTTCCTGGCTCCTGCCGATGTCAACTTTGTCTCAGTCTCTGTGACCAGGTAGCTTTGTTCTGTTTGTCTTTTTGCATTTATGGTATAGATTGCCTCCATCTCCCTTGCTTTAATTAGGATGTAATGGAATCTGTAGTTAAAAGTAGAGAAAACTGAGTTATAATGCACTGTATGTCTTTAAATTCATCAATGATGTATTTCTTTATGTATGCTTTGAAAATTTTCTCAATAATATTCATTGTTTACAATGTAGAGTTCACATCTACCTTTAAATATTTTCCCCTAGGAATTGGACTTTATTTTCAACACCATCATAAATTGATATTTTAAAAATTCTGATTATAGTCCTCAGGATAGAGACATAATTTATTTGGCATTTAAATTAAATCAGGGAATTTTGCTAAGGTTCCTTGCTAATTTTAATAATCTTATTTTTTTCTGATTATTTTGGAGTTTCTTTCATGCCTAACTATGGTGCTTTAAAAATTTCCGTTCTAATTATTATACATTTCATTATATTTTCTTTTCTTATTGGAGAAAGTTTCAGAACTTATTTTCTCTTTCCTGATCTCAGGGGAAATTTTTAGTGTTTTCCCAGGGAGCATGAGACTGGCTGTGAATTATTCTTCCTTTTCAGAGGCTCTTAGCAGAGTAGAAAGATTCGTTCTATTCTCGGTCAGGCACTGACTGTGTCGTGAGGGGTTGTTAATGGTTCTTCTCTGTACTTTCTGTACCAGGTCGTCTTTTACCATCTTTAGATATTGTGAAGAATTCACCATGAAGATGCTGAATTTCACTGTGTGTAAGAAATTGTTTAGATTAGGAACTAAAGTTGTTTAACCAGTCAATGGCCAGATTTAATATTTAGTATTATGTAACATTGAGGGAGCTGTGTCTGACAAGGAACGTGTATGTGTTACTTAAATTTCCAAATTGTTTTTTGATATAAAGCCATCACAATGTCTTCATGTCTCTGAAGACCTGTCCAGGTTGCAGTGGCTTCTCCTCTGAAGACCTGGGGCATCTGCAGTAGATTTTCTTTGAAGGCTCATTGAATCTGTAGTGAAGTCTTCTTTGATGATCCACGGTGTCTGCAGTGATGTTTCCTTTAAAGACTCCTCAAGTCGGCAATGTGATGCCTCCTTCAAAGACTCATGAAGGCTGCCATGACATCTCTATTAAAGACTGATTGAGTCTACAGCAACGTCTCTTTCAAAGACTCATGGAGTCTACAGTGATGTTTCCTTAAAGACTCATGGAAACTCCCATGACATTTCCTTTGAAGGGCCCTTGAGTCTCCAGTGATGTCTTGGAAGACTTGTTGAATCTGAAGTAGAGTTTCCTTTGATGTTTGCCTGGACTCTCTGTGATCCTCTTGCCATAGCCTCCCAACTGCTGGGTTTAGAAGCATGAGCCACCACATCCAGCTTGTATCTCATTTTCAATGCAATCTATTAAGACTTGAACCTACAACCTTCTTTTTCAATTGTGTGTGTGTTGTATACTTATGAGTGTGTGCATCTGTGTGCTTACCTGGAGGTGAGGGGGAAGACACTGAGTGTCCGGCTCTATCAGTCTCCACTTTAGTTTTCCTAAGATGAGGTCCTCATTGAACATGGAGCTAGGCTGGTGGCCAGTAAGCCTGAAGGCTTCTCCTATCCCAGACCCCACACGTGCTGAGGTATCAGGAACACACTTACCAAGCTTGTATCTTTCTTAAGTGGCCTATATTTGGGTTTGTTTATCATTTACTCTGACAATTTTGCTGTGGATTTGGAAGACAGCCTCACTATGTTCGATATAATTGCTGAAATATTTTAAATTTAGCTGTGACCGTTTATTTTCTCCTTGTTCTATTTTAAATGTGTCTCTGGCTTGTACTCTTCACAGTCTTTGATAAGCATTTGTGATGATCCGACCGACCTGTCCTTGTTAGCTCCCCAGCCTTCACTGTTCTCTGCTGGCCAGTCACATCTGGGTGTAATATTTTGGCTGTTTTTGGTCAGTGCCTTTACCACTTTGAGCATGAGAAGACCAAAGTGGATGTGCTTTGCAGATCGAAGTCTCTGTGCTTGTGCGGCCATTGCATTCCATCATCCAGTATCTTTTCTCAGCGTCCCTTTTCCTTTCTGCTGTTCACAGATGAGCCTGCAGGCTTCACTGGTTCCTGCCAGCCATGGCAGGCACTCCTGCTCATGAGCCCTTAATGATGCTATCGGTCAGCCTCACATTATCTCCAGAACATGAGCTTCATTATCCTTGTCCAAGCAGGAAAGTGCCACTCACACGAAATGCTGAATCCAAAAGGGCTGAAAGTATTTCTTGCTAAGTAAGGGAGAGCTGTGCCTGGAGGACGCTGTCACCTGAACAAGGTAAATGGCCTGTCTGGTGGAGGTCTGGGGAAGCATGGAGCAGAGACTGACAAGCTTGGGGGTGGGGGGATGGGGAATGTCTGGGGATGGGTGACCTTGGGTATAGACTTAGGAGAGTAGAACCAGGTTGTCATTGAAAAAATGTCTGTCATCTGGAGATATACTCATGAGTGGGAAATGGTCCTCAGTGGATCAACACAAGTCTAAAAATCAGCATTAGTAGTTACTCATCAGCCTACAAAGGGCAGCTGTCCTCTTCCTTCTAGAATTTGGATTTGGCACTGAACTTGGAGAAGTAGAAGGGTGTGTGTGTATGTGTGTGTGTGTGTGTGTGTGTGTGTGTGTGTGTGTGTGTTCACCCATGTGTACGTGTGCAGAGGTTCATGTCTGTGGCATGCACAGACCTGAGGAGGATGTTGAAAACCCTATCTTTCTCTGCATTATTCCCCTAAGGCAGGGTTTCCCACTGAACCTGGAGATCAATGTTTCTTGGCTAGGGTAGTAGCCATCAAGTCTCAATGATTCTCTTATTTCCACATCCCCTGGCATGGGGGCTGCTGATGTATAGGGCTGTACCCAGCCTTTGCTTACGTTGATGCCGAGAATATGAATATAGGTCCTCGTGCTGGTTCAGCAAGCATCCCTACCCATGGCGCTCTCTCCCCAACCCCTGAGCAATTTTTGCTCTCATTTTTATTGTATGCCTGAGCAAACCGAGGCTCAGACCAGTTAGTGACTGTCTTAGTTGTGTTCCTCTTACTGTAATAAAATGTCTTGACAAAGGTAGGACTGTGATAGAGGAGTCAAAGCCATAGAGCTTGAGAGAGCTACCACAATCAAGATATGTACTCACAGATATATAGTCATGGGTGATATAGCTCATGCTCTCTGGTTTTTAAACCCATTTTAGGTCCCAAAGCTCGACAATGGTTTAGTCCACTTTTAGGCTGTGTCTTCCCAGTGAACTCAATTTAGATCATCCTTCACAAGTGTGGCTGGAGGTTGTGGCCCAGGCAATTCTAGATACAGCCAAGTTGAAAACACCAGCTGTCATAGTGACCTTCTTAGAGTGAGAGATTCAGCTAGGGCCCTATGAATGCTTTGAGCTAAGACCTTTGCCAGTTCCACACTACGCTGTGCTGCTATTATTAGCCACCATTGTGCTACTGTCTCAAGGGTCCGTAGGGAGTGGCCAGCCCTGGATCTTACAGCTTGACCTGCCACATCATTCTCTAGGGGGCCACTCATGATGGACTCTGTTTTCCCTTCATCCCAGATCCCGCCTCATCCCCTGACAGACTCATTCTGATGGACTTGGAGCTATCAGGGGTTTGTGGGACTCTGAAAACCAAGCTATCACACAGCTGTCAGGTGTTCCATATCCCTCTTGCATGTTCATACATGTTTACGTGTGACAGGCCTCACTTGTTCCTCCATTATACATGGTTGTAACTATGTGAGCTCAGGTTTGGGGGACTTGAGAGCCTTTGTGTGGTGACAGATGTCTACACATTTCACCTAGTACATCTTGCTAGCTATGGACACCCAGAATGTCCCCAGTACCCCTTCACATGCGCACAGTGATGTCCCCACACTATGGATCTACGAGATTCCCCTGGGTTTTCACCTGGGAGAAGGCTTTGTGTATCAGGAAACACCAAAGTTAACTTCATTTGGTTTGGCTGTTTCACTCTCTAGGCTGGAGTGACAACAGGTTGTACCCATTAAGAAAGTGTGGGGACTTCACTCTGCTGCATCCTCAAGCAACATTCTTAGATTCTGAAATAAGAAAACGAGTGCAGTGCACATATTTGCGGTAGGGCACAGCCACAGAGCCCCCCGGCTAACCTCCAGCTTTGTAGGACAGGGTGGCTTTAGCTTGCTGTGCTCCTCCTGCCCCTGCCTCCTAAATGCTGAGATTATAGGCATGGACCACTGGGTCTGCCCTGAAAGATAGAATCTTGTAATTGTTTTAAGGTGCACATGAGTGAGCCCTGTTGAAGCTGTTTCCTTCTCCTGAAGATCCCAGCAGCGGTAGAGTCCCCCTTTAGGGGACAGTGGTTATATTACATACTTCAGCTAGTATTACAATCTACTGTCTTTGTCTTTGTAAAGAAAATCATTACATTTTAATTTTTTTGTGGTGTGTGTGTGTGTGTGTGTGTGTGTGTGTGTGTGTGTGTGTGTGTCCCTGTGCATGGGCCATCGTGTATGTGGAGGTCAGAGGATGGCTTGTGGGAGGCAGTTTCTCCTCCAACTATGTGGGTCCTGGGTTTCAAACTTGGGTCATCAGTCTTGGCATCAGGCACCTTTATCCAAGGAGTCATGTTATTGGCCCTCTTTATCTTTTTGGTTTTTTATTCCCCCTGGCTATTGTATATGTCTACTTGCTGCTGAGTTTTTAAGGTGCAGCATCCCCCACCATCAGTGTGACTCTAGCTAAGTGGTGCCCTTTATCCCTGAGCCCTGTTCCCAAGTGCTGCTGCGGTGGAATACATTTGCTTTGTACAGCACATGCTGCAACTCTCAGGTGTTATGTAAGAAAAGCCAAAGTGGTTCAAGAAAGACTTTCCTAACAGTTCGTCCCCTGGCTTTATACTTCTGCAATTTGAGTTTGGGTTTCAAGCCATGTTCTCTCCAGATAATCGCCAGGCTGCGTGGGAGAGCTTCAGCTGTCGCTTTGCTCATGAGGTCACCCAGTTGTACTCAGTGATATCTGTTAAAAAGTCCTTTCTGTCCTCACTGCAGTACGTTGTCACCTCTCCCATAAAACGTGTCCCTAAACACTGGGGTCTGACGGTGAGTTCTCTGTCTTCTTTTATGTCTGAATTTCATCTTTCCGAAACAAACCACGCTTTCCAAAAAGGAAACCAGAAGCAGGGAACGTGGCTCAGTGGATAAAGCACTTGCCACTCAAGTGTAAGGACCAGAGTTCTGGCTCCTCAGAACACATATAAAAGCCATGCAGATGAGCCAGCCGCATGTAATCCCAGCTCTAGGGAGGCATAGACAGGAGATCCCTGGGCAAGCTGGCTAGCCAGAGCAGCCAATTCGGTGAGTTCTGGGTCCAGAGAGAGATCTTGCATCTGTAAACCAAGTGGAGAGTGAGATAAGAAGACAGTTGATATCAACCTCGGGCCTCCACAGACACTTATGCGCATGTGCACATGCACCTGCATGCACAAGTGTGCCCACACACATGCACGCACGCATACCACACACATATACAGAACAAAAACTGATTCTTTGCACACTTTTCTTATCTTGTGGGATAGGCCTTCTCATTAGTCTATTGATTTTTTTCCTTCAAATGATTCATTTTCTTTTCTACAGACCCCCAATTCTTTTATGTGTCACAGTAGGATTGCTGGATTCTTTGAAAACCATCAATAAAATTTTTCAATGGATTCTTATTAAAGGTTGTTTTCCTTTGGGGGGGGAATTCATGGGAGAGGAACTGCCATGTTTCCCATGATGAGCAGCCCTTCCCTGGATAGCACGTGTTTCCCCTGCATTTCACTTTTCTTCATGTCTCCTAGGACTTTCTCTAAGAGGTCTTATGCAATCTCTCTCCGATCTGTCCTCATTCTTTCTTGCTATTGTAAAATGTCATGGTGTCATTACGACACACTCTAGTTACAAATAATAAGTATGGAGACTACTGTTGCATGGTTGATGCTTTATTTCCCCAAATTTCAAGGGCTTTTGTTTTTCTTTTATGTTATGTTGTTTTTAAGAGCTTCTAGGGAGTTTTAGGAATTCAAATTTCCTACAAGTAAGGACCAATTGGCTCTGTCCCGTCTGTTCTTCTCTGGGCTGATCATCTTTCTCTTGGCACTCTGTTGGGAAGGGTGTTGCCAGTAGAGATTAGGAGGGTGACCTTTTTCTTGAACTATGGCTTGGATCTCTTATGGTTGGCTGTAAGAGACATACTATGGGCAACAGATCAACAATAGACACAAGGTCTACTTGAGGGGGCTGGCAAGGTTGACACTGTGTGTCATGGAACCTGGCCTGGGAACTTTTAAGAGGCAAGGCTATCTTGGCTCAGACATAGCTTTCAAGACAATACAGCAAAGTTCACTTTCACAAAGTAGCTGTTTATAAAAGAAACACATGGTAACTGACTTGTGCTGAAGACATCCACCCGCTCCGTGCGGGACTCTGTTTTCTGTGTTTTCAGTGACCTGTGGTCATATAGAGTCTTGGAATATTACACGGGGGGATTTTCAGCTAGACAAACCATGAAGTTCCCATTGCACATGGTGCTGAGTAGGTGGTTTAATCCTGAGCCACATTGCTCTTTCCAACCTGTGATAGGAATCACGGCTTTGTCCGGTGTGTTCACTCTGTCTGTGCTTCTTGCACGTTAGTTATTCAGTGCCCTCAGTTCAGTGGTCGGGTTGATCATTACTGTTTGCTGGGGTTGTGGCCAAAGAACCCTTATTTCACTTAATAGTGCCCCCAAAGCTCAGGATAAGTAATGCTTGGAAAATGAGCGTACCAAAGAGAAACTGTGACCTGCTTCTTCTAATGGAGAGGGTGACCTTTCTCAAGTCAGTAAAGTGAAAATAAAATACTATGTGCCGACTTCTATGGTATGTGGTCTGTAGTACAGTAAGATGGTCTGTGTGTGTGTGTGTGTGTGTGTGTGTGTGTGTGTGTGTGTGTGAGAGAGAGAGAGAGAGAGAGGCATATGCATATTTAATACAGCAGAATATTTATGACAGAATATTGCTACAATTGTCCTGTATTGTTGCTGACTGTTATTTTCTTCCTATGCTTGGTTTATAAATAAATGGATGTTGGTCTCAGGTTCACTCATCTATGAAGGCAGCAGTTTACATGAGGATCAGGCTGCAGTTCCAGGTCCACCAGCATCTCTGAAGTGTGCTCTCTTCAGGAGAGGTACACTGCTGGACAGGAATGACACAGGGTGAAGAATGCCCTGAACTCAGAGAAGAATGGTCTTGGACAGAGACCCTGAGGGCTCTCAGCATCAGCATCTTCAGCAGGAATCTTTGATGTAAGCCATAATAAGAGGAGATGCTGCCCCACATGGGGATCCACTGGGGGGTTCCTACAGGAATTGACATGCAGAATCTGTAAGTGCAGAACTCTTTGTCAAGGTAGGGGACTTTCCTGTACTTCTCTGTAAATGTGTGATAGTATTTACAAATAGGTTAGGTTGTTAAAGAACTGTTTTTTCATTAAGTCAGCAAGTACCTTAAAAGGGTGAATCATATTCGTTCATGTGCATGTGTATGATGTACATAGGCACATGTGTGTTCCTGTATGGAACACAAGCACATATAGATGCTCATGCTCACTCACATGTGCAGATTCCAAAGCTGACAATGGGTATCTCTTTCTAGATCCAACTCTACTGCTTTATTTACTGAAGCAGGCTCTCTCAGTGCATCTGGAGGTCACCAATTCAGCTAGTTTAGCTGCCAGGATCCGGAGGGATTCTCTACCTCCCTAATGATGGGATCCCGCATGGCTTCCACCTCTGCCTAGCTTAACCTGGGTTCTGAGGCTTCCACCTCTGGTCCTCACGTTAGCCTCGCCAGCACTTTGTCCACGGAGTCATCTCCCCAGCCAGGGAATCATGATTATAGGTTTTCTCATTTAAACATCTTTTACTCCTTTGGATAACTCAATTTATAGTGGTGTGTTATTTCTTTAAAAAAAGAAATTCAAGTCAGTTAGCAAATGGAAGAAGAGTATTTGTGAAAGCAAAGCCCTCAGACTTTGCTTTTTGAGGTGTGTGTGCCAGGTTTGGAATAAAATCCTTGATATTCAAAATTCTCTCTCTCTCTCTCTCTCTCTCTCTCTCTCTCTCACACACACACACACACACACACACACACACACACACACATTAAAGACATGGTGTCTCTCTTCTTTGGAAGTCTGAGGAACTCTTCCTTGTATCTTCCTAGATCTGTTTCTTGTTTCCTGTCAGGAGAAGTTTTAATTAACATTGCAATATTTAAATTGGGATTTCCCATTTCTTCTCATTCTAGTTTGAAGTGTTAGACCTTTTCCAGACTGATCTCCATTTTGCCTACATCTTCAAATCTTGTGCCTTTACTTAAAAGATGCTGTGGTGCTTGTCTGGTTATCTCCTCATTTGGAGTCTGGGTTTAGACCCCGCATTTCTCCTCATTTTAGTGACTGGATTTCCTCGAGCCCTGTGTGTCCGACTGGTCTTCATACAGAACCACTCTGGTATCGCTGGTCATGATTTTTGCCCATGTTTGTTCCCTATTTTATCCCCTTCAAGGTCACATCTCTGGACCACTCCTGCCCTGTCTTGCTTTACTCTTGAGCGGACAGCTACCACTGTGATCTTGGTTTCTGATGAATACATTTCACCTCATGAGACCCCCACTGAGGTGCAGACCTACTGTGCTGTGGGTCTCTTATGCGTTCCTTTTCCCAAGCCTTTTTAGCAGGATGACATTTTACGCTTAGGACACACTGTGCTGTTTCCCAGTCATCTTTTGTCAATGGTTTCCCCTTGCCCGTGGGCGGCAGCGTGGCTCCAGCCTCATCCCTCACCCCGTGAGAGTGCCCTCCACACACGGACTTCCATTTTGCTTCGGATTTTATTAGTCCTGTCATTCAAATTTTATATGTATTTATGTTCTTTTATTTACAGCTTTTTTTTTTTGATTGTTCCTTTGACCAGCTAGCTTCTAGGAGGCCTTTGCCGAGATCCCGAGTGATAAATTTCCTCTCTATTTTCGCTCGTAATTCTGTCTGTTGTGCTTTTTATATTGCAAGATGCAATTTTAGAGGCATGTGCATCCCCGCACTCTCCCTGAACTGATAGTTGCCTCTGCCGACACAGCATGCAGAGCCCTTAAAACACACTCAGACTAGTGATGCAGCCCTGACTTGTATGATGGAAAAACAAAACAAAACAAAGCAACCTCTTGGTGGAATAATCCATGTAAACACCCCTATGGCGCCCTTTAATGATGCCATTCGTTAGTCAGTGTAAATTTCCATATCTATCTGTGTTTCTTATTAGGGATCAGCAGTGCAGAGCTCTGGGCTCCCCCAAGGCTTGGAGCGCTAGGAATGGGAGACAACTGGACCTCTCCCTGTGCAGTGACACTGGTCTCCTTTTCAACTCCTTTCATTCCTCTCTCCTCCTTTGCCTCCACCATCCCTCTCCATTCCTCCTCTTCCTTCTTCCTTCCTGCCTCCCTGCTCCCTCCCTTTGCTGTTTCCTCCCTTTATCCCTTCCCTTTTCTCTCTCTTTCCCTCCTGCTCTTCCAGCCTTTCCCACATCTCAACCCTGTTGGATGACTCCTTACTTTCTTCTCCGAGCCATAAATTACATACAGCAAAGGACACAAAGGCTGTGTGTGGGTTGGTCAGCGAGTCTCCAGAGACCTCCCGTGTATAGTCACCCCAGGCTGGACTCCTTTGTGTCTCTGCAGTCATGGACTCTTTGATCCCCTCTTGGCCACCACAGCTTTAATTTGAGCCTGTCTCCCTTCTTTCCTCAGGGGCCACTCAGCTCCTTATGTCTTTGTTGATTCTTGTGAAAGGAATCCTGGTGGGTCTCACCTGGGCAGTGGTCTCTGCAGCTGGGCTTTCTGAGTTGCATTGGAGTCTGTTCTGCTTGGTTGCATGGGCCAAGCTGCATCCCAGTAGAGCCCCTGCTCACTCTCCATGGTCAAGGTTTGAGTGGAGTCCTTCCATCATCGGTCTTGTATAAAGTTTGTTAAGGGTTGATTAGCTCCGAATACATATTTTCCTTTTACCTGTCAGTGGTGTGTTTTGCTTCCATGAGAGGTTTGTGAGCCTTTGCAATCCCCTCTCTTCCTCTCCCCTCCCTCTTCTCCTCTCCCCTCCCCTCCTCTCCCTTCTCTTTCTCTACCTTTTCCTCCCCTCCCCTCCTTTCCCTTCCTCTCCCCCTCCTCTCCCCTCCCTCCTCTCCCTTTCCTTTCTTTCCCTCTCTTCCTGAGTTCACAATGCTACAGCCAAGTTCAATGGAGAAACAAGTGAGCTCTCTCTCTCTCTCTCTCTCTCTCTCTCTCTCTCTCTCTCT